CCCCCTCTAGATGAGTTACAGAAGACCTTTTTACATATGGTACATCCTCTGCATATATGCTTCGCTAAAGTGTATATTCCTACACAGACATACTTTCTTAGCACAACATCACACATTGCTTACACCTCCCAATGACTCTTTTGATGTAAAACAGTTAATATTTGCCTCATTATCACTTTATTCAGCATTTCTCTCCCATCAGGGAGTATCCATTTTCCTTCAGACTTCATGGCTCCTGATTCCTTAAAAAAAATCTTTCTTTTAAAACGTTTTAGTTCTTTCTTAATTTTCAACAATTCTCTGAATCCTCTCTGGATTTATTCTTCATTTCCCCTCAGACATTAGATGCCTTAAACACCTGACTTCTCTTTCTACATATTGTAATTTATTTTTCAATACTCCCAAGCCCTGCTTTCCCAGAAAGCTGAATAGCTTGTTGGTAGCTTCCTTTACAACTGTTTTCTCCTGTCTTGACAATAAAAGATCATCCACATATTTGTAACATTAATACTTCCTTGGGAGGTTGTAATTGCTCCAAAATCTTTTTTAGAACTTACCCAAATAGATAGGTGGCCCTGTAAACCCCTGAGGTAAAATTGTCCACCTATATTGTTGCTTCCACCCCCATTTCAGGGTCTTTCCAGTCAGAGGTGAATATATGTTTGCTCACAGGGCCTGAGAGCACTCCATTAATAACATTGTTATTCCAGTCTAACAATTTACTATTTGAATGCCCAATTTCATCATCAAATCCCTTCCCAACAAGTTAGTCCCTGCCTTGGGTACATACAATAATTGCCCAGTGATCATTTTATCCCCTGGTCTCAGCTTGGTCACCCAAAGGTGGCACTGTTACCCCAGCCCCTTCTACCCCCATCACTTTTTAGGGTTTCATTAGTTAATTTAATCCCTGATACTTTACAAGCCAGTGATGACCTAGCTGCCCCAGTGTATTGGGTTCGATGGCAAGGTTCATGGGAGGGGGGGGCGGGGGGGGCGGGGGAAGAGAAGATTCTTCTTTACGAGAATTCACAAGCCTCCCCGTGGCAGATAAGGGACAATTTCATCTGGCCCCAAAGGGGCTCACCGCTGCCCAGAGCCAAACCATGAGCAACACAGTCAGTGCCTCTGTGAAAGCACATCCACGAAGACAAACAATCAAAGAAACAAACAAAAACCTGCTGCTCAACTGCAGCTGGGAGAGCAAGGAGCGAGAAACCTCCCTGCAGACATCAAAGTCAGCGCAGAGGAGAGGGAGGAGGCGCTCCAGGAACTGGAGCCAAAGCTTCCCTGAGGCCTGTAGCTCCTAGTGGAGCAGGCTGTCCCCCTCCCTGATACTTGGGAAACTGACCAAACACCACAGCAAATATACCAAAACTTCTAGACTGTTACTTAGATAATGCCTACATCCCCTTTCCCTGCTCATTCAACTTCAAACAGCTCTGTTAAATACTACATGCCACACCTTTAACACCTTCAGCAACCCTTTTAACACTTCCTTTATCTTTCTCCAGTCTGTACTTTTCTAATACCAGCACCAAAGGCTCAGTCAGGGTCCAACTTAATTCCATACCTTTTCCCTCCAAGATACTGAAACAACATATCAGTATATCATATTTCATCCCATTTTCCTTCTTTCCTCCTTTTTCCACTCCAGATATTCCTATTCAAAGTGGCCAGCCTGGCCACACTTAAAACATCTTATCAAAGCCTGTCCCTGCTAGGATTCAGGCCACAACACAGGCAGCCTTCTTTGCCTGCCATTCCTTCATCTCTCTTCCTCTCCTTTCCATCCTGGCCCTGACTCCTCCTGAAGATTTTCTTCCTCTTTCTCCAACCCTCTGCCTCACTACCTGCTGCACTGTCAATACCATTAGTTTCGCTCTCTGCTTTTCCTTCTCATCTCCCCTCCGGACACACACCTCCAGGGCCTCCTGCAGGAGGGTCCGCCAGTGACTGTTCACTACATCCCCCCACCTTCTGGAGCATTTTCTATGTATTTTGCCAGGCTTTAATCACACAATGAACTTTCAAGAGCCCTTGGGATACTGGGTCCTCAGGACTCATCCCCGAGTACTTTCTCATTCTGACCCCAAGTCTCTCATATGATTTCTGTGTTGCACACTATTATTATTCCAGCCAGGATTGGCAAGTAGGTATTTCTGCTCTGCCGGAATTACCCCTGGTCCTGGAGGATGAGCTCTTTCCCATTATTGTATAGCAGCTCTCCTCCTGATCATTCCCATTTCTTTCCCTGTAAACAACATACTTATAGACATAATTCCCTTCCCCAAGAGTATAAGTCAGGTCATAGGAACTGGTCTAATTGTTCAGCTAGGCTGTTGGGGTCCTCAAATAAAGTCTTCCTCTCCTTCTTAAAAGTCCTAACCTCTCTGCTGGTAAGGAGGGGGGATAGTTCACCTAAGAGGATACACAGTTAGTGTTAGTACTGTTAGTATCAGGGATGGCAAAATTCTCAATATATCTTCTACCTTGTTCTAATTCTTGCCAGAGCCTAGAGTACGATCCTTCTTTAGGGACAGTGTTAATTACAGTCCCTGTCTCCCTTCCTGGAGTGACTGCTTCTGCCACGGGTACAATATTAGGATTATAGGGAGCATAACTTGGCTTATTCTCCGAAAAAGGAATCTTCTTGTTTACACATAAATTTAAAGCCTGAATTTTCATCAGACCCATATTTTGGCCAAAATACTGCTGTTTCCTTAATTGGTTCTTTTGTCCAGACTGATACACAATATTTAACCTTTTTTTTAATTTTTCTTTTACAGTCCCTCTAATTTTGGGATTATGTTTCCAATTTCTTATCATTCTTCAGGAAGAACTAGTTGGTAGGCACTCCCCCAGGGATATCTCCCTGTCCCCTGGAACTCATATTTCCCATTTTTCCTAGCCCTCATCAGTATGTTGCTACAGAAATTTCCCTTCTGCAGTGTACCACACACTAATATTCCAATTCTGGAAAATGGGGGTGTACTGCCAAGCACTTCCCCATGCAAGGATTACCGTACACCAAATTTCCCAAGACTCTTCACAGAGTCTCACCCGACCCCCAAGGCAATACTTAATCTTTCTTACCTTGGTCTGTGCACAGAGTTACCGGATCGATTCTTAAAAACCCGGAGTGCCTACCTTCTTCCTTTCCCCACTACTTCATGGATCCTGCCTCTTTAACCAGTCTCGGGCCCTCTGTCAGTTTTCTGCAGAACCGCCACTGTCGATGCACAGGACCACTGAAATCAGCAGGGCATGCCTTCCTGATGCTGCAGAAAGACCTAAGGACAGAGCATGCCTGCACATCTCTCCCAGTTAACACAGGACTGCTGTTATCATCAGTGTCCACAGCGATCTGAAGGAGAATGAAGACATGTTCCCAACATGCTTTGTCTCTGTCCTCTGACTTACCTCAAGGAAGACCTGTGGATGATTTGTGGGGTAAAGGAATGTACTCAATCCCATTCTGAGACAGCAAGAGGTGCATAATACTGAAATACTGAAACTGTCTCTGAAAAATCTGAAACATTTCTATAGAGTGGAAAGGAAAGGCTGGAATGGGTCTTAGGTGAGAACTGGATGATGGATCAACTTAAATCTCCAGCAACTTTCTGGCCAAGCACCCAACACTCTGTAAGCATTGGGGATCAAACTCCAAAGCATTCCCTGTACAATGGACAACTATATCCATGTATGTGGTTCTAAGCACAACATAAATATAAGCATTTCCATGACATAAGCACTTAGTCCAGGGATTTTCTAGTGGTCAGATCATCAGGGGACAAATAAAAGATCCTGCAAAAGTTTTTGTGCAATATGTTGATGTTATCTATGGAGTGGTAATTCGTGTCAAGAAAATGGTTGATATTAATAAAGAAAGGGGAGATTTGGGAATGCAGCCATGGGGGTTGGAAAGCCCCGTGGTTGAGACAACATTAGGCTCTTAACGACGAGGCCATCAGGAATGTAAAAGAGTTTAGAGGGAACAAAGAAGGGTGATTCAGGAGACTCCATGCAGTCTCCCGTTTCTTGTTCTCCAGGTGGTTCTCTTGTTCTCCAGCCATTAAGGCATGGATGTTTCTGGGTGTTTGCTGTTGTTACATTCAAAGTTGTTTGACCAATGAAAAGTTGTTTTGAAAAGAACTGCTGTGGAGAGAAGGGTATAAGAGGGGAGCCTGCCCTCAAGATAAAAAAGGCAACAGGATGAAGTTACATCAATAAAGAAGCAGGAACAAGAAGTGAAGAGGAACAGGCTGGCAGAATGGAGACCAGGACGGGAACAGGCACATTGATCACCTCATGAAGATATGTTCGGCCAAACTCAGCAAACTGCTCAGAGAAGCTTATACAGAAAGTAGCTGGAAATGGGTTCACTGGAGCTGGAGAGAAGCTCGAGCTGAGGGAAGCCTTTTGACCCAGGCCTATTGGCCTTGAAAAGGAGATGGATGTGCTTCCATCCTTCCATTCTGGATTCTTCGATCCATAAGGCCCGAAGACCGAGTTGCTTGACAACTCAAAGCGAGACATATTGTTCAAAAGGAATGGAAAATGGAGACTTGTTAGTAATCAAGAAAAGGAATGAAAAATGGAGACTGTTAAATCATGGAACTTAAAGGATCGTTTGTTACCTTTCCTGATTGTACATATGTATAGGCATACTCTGGTTTAGTATGTAAAGCAATGTTCTGTATATTTAGAATGTTTGATGTTTGTGTGTGTGTGCTGGTGGAGCGTAGACTCCCCGCACACCCAGCGCTGTTTACTTGCCTTTTATACATTTTAGAAATATTTGTTTTATAAATATTACAAAATTCAGATTGAGTTGAGACCTCATTTATAACATTGATATGCAGAAAAGAGTTTTATATCAGATATCTGCCTCCTGTGCTGGGAAGCTCCTAATCTTTACTAGTTAGTTATGGACAGAATTATGAGTTTAAATATACTTCCAAAAAAATAATCACCACAGATCAGAATATTCTACTCACACATCTATGTATTTAGTCTCCGTATATCACTCAAGATCAGGCATTGCATTTTTTATATCCTTTCAGCATGGTTCCCTAATTCTTCTGCATACAGTGGTGTGTTTGCTTGGAGTTTAATAGCATCTGTGAACTTAATACAATTCCTCCTTGTCCTGTCCACTGGGAGGCTGTTAAAACAAAAATGTAAGGTTTATTACTGGCTCTTGCATTTTTGGCTCTTGAGAGCAAAACAATAATTTTACAATACCATGATGGTTTTGACCAGTGATGAACAAGCACCTACAACCAGTTTTCTCCTAGGTGAATGACTTGCAGTGATGGTATTCTCTGTAAGGATAGCATTCAGGATTTTTTAGATTATTTGCAGAGCTTCAAATAATAAAGTTGCATGACATATTCTGAACTAGTATTAAAGACAGTATGAGGGAGAAATGCTAGCCAAAGAAAAGAAAACAGATCAGAAAAATCTGGCTAATATGTTAAGAATTATGTTGAAAATTAACATGACAGGATAGTAAGAAGAAGAATAGAAAAGCAGGGTGTTCTCAATGCAGCTTTCACTCTGCTTCCCTTGGGAAGGTTACAAAGATTCTCTTTCCTTAGCCTTTCTATTGCTAGCTCTTGTACAGTTTCTACTTTGTGAAAATAGCACCTCCTAGCCTACACGTATGAAGCTTATAAATCTGGCGTTGATATGCCAATGGCTTTTAAGCACAACTATCTTTCTGAGATCTCCAGTTTTTGCAGACAATCTGGATTTACAGTTCACTTTTTCAATCACTTCAATCACACATAACAGCAGCATGCTTTGTCATACAATTATCTCTCTTGAGAACCCAAACATGAAAAAAAAAAAAAAGCTTTTAGTAGGGAAAAAAAAAAAAAAGTCAATTCATTGCTTATCTAAGCTTCCACATAAATAAATGGTCATCAGAAATTAAAGCTACTTTTGATGACAATGCTGTGTTACTTTCTCCAAGAACTGTGTTATAAAGTAATGCAAGATAACCTCTGGCAGGCATTGATAACAGAGAAATTACAACACCAAAGGTATTTCATGTTTTATGTGGATATAGATATACATTTATACATTTCCTTAGTTTTTACAATATTCAAAATTCATGGATATTGCATATGGAACACTGGATAGCATAAATAGGTATTCTCTAGGTAAATCCTCATTGGAGTTTTATTTGAAAATTGATATTATCCACCAGGAGGGGATGTCATTATAAAAATGCAAAGGTAACTAGCAAAACAAATATGCATGGATATGTTTTTCATTCATAACGAGACCCCTTTATACTATACTGGCCATGTGCAAGAGCTGTAGTGTGCATTTTTTCCCCAAAAGATTCCTCAACACTGCATGAAAATATGAAACACAACAGTATAAATTAAATTTGTTCCCTGTATTTTTACTCACTAGATGTCAGTATCCTATGAAAAGCTAACTGCTGGGGGTCAACAAATCTTCTGCCTAAAAAAGGAGACAGATTCTCCCCAAATCAGCTCAATAGTCTTCCATCAACTTCATTTGGAGCAGACCAAAACCACATTTTGTACAGATTATCTTCTGACTGGTCTCAGTTTTTATTAAATTAATGGTAAAAACTCAGCGGGGACAAAATGCAAAGCCTCAGGTTGATGGTCTGTTCATCAGAAACTTAAGAAAGCAGAATTCTCCCTATTTGAAAGCATTTGGCTATTGGTTTTTAAATCTGTCTCCCACCAGGTGTTATTCTATCTTCTTCACCATTGCCTAATGTGTCTTGTGCCCTTTGCATTAAATTACCAAGGATGTATCAAACAGCCTTTTAAAAGGCTCATTAACAGTATTTTCTTCCAGTGCCTTATTTACCAGGATCTCCCCTCTCCCTAAAATGATACTTTGCACTTCATCATGTTTGTATTACTGGCATAGGTCAACCTGTTGCCTTGGTGATGGAGAATCTGTTTTTTTGCTTTAACCTCCATTCTCCAGAGAAAAAAGATAAATGCATGAGGTAAATACCCTCCTAATTCCACGTTTCATCTAAACTTACCTCTTTAAAATAGAAGTAATTAAAAATTAAGTTAAATTAAGGATTAAGTTCAAAGAAAGATACCTACTTTTCCCAAGCTGTCTGAATATAGAACATGCTGTTAGAATGTAAAAAACAGTTTTATTTCAAGTGAATTCTGTCGATTAATATCTGTTTCTTTATATGAGGTTTCACAGCCCTAACGAGAAAGACCTTCTAATAAGCAGTTTTTACTGCAAGCTCCTGCTCATCTTCTTCCTCTTACCCCAAAATACAGCAAATCTACAAAGCCAGAAGTCACAGGCAGTTATTTTTAGGACCATCATATGACTGAAATTTGGAGAAAAAATAGCACAGTTATTGAACATCCTTACTGTGAATGCATCAGGGGAGAGAACCTTAAATCAGTTCTCTTTCTGTAGCACAGTTGAGAAAATGCAGGAACCAAATCTAATGCATAAAATGACCAAGCTTGAGAGAGAGACTTGCTACAAAACTCCTGAAATTCCATTGTATTTTCCTTAAGAAAAACAACAACAACAAAAACTGTCACTCATATGTAATAAAATGCAGTAGGGATGAAATGCACCTTCTTTTAAATACAACCATCAAATTATCAATTGACACTCAGTTATTTTAACGCAATTTTTTGGATCACAGATGATAAAGACCAAGAAACAGTAGACTGTCAGTTCCTCAGGAAATAGATAAAAATTATAGTAGACTGATCACTGTAATATAAGTGATAAGAGTAGACAAACCCACACACTCCTTTGCTTTGTAGACAGAGTGAGGTCAACATGTATCAGACTCTATAAATCAAAACTAAAGGGTTTACCCCATGCCATTTTATGCTATACATTTTCTTAATCACATAAAACATTAAAAGCATAACTGTTAGTTTTATAAAACCGAACACTGCTTTCTTAAATAAGGATGTGGAAAGTTTTTTTCCAAATTGCAAACTCCTCAACCCTTCAAAAATCAATGATGTGTAAGAGTCAGATAAGATCACTGCTGGAAACTAACTTGAATTTTTGTCCTAGATAGTTTACGGATTTATAGTGGTTGTGAGCCAATTGGTTACATGAGGAAAAGGGATGAACCAACAAGGACAAATGTAGGAAAGAATCAATTGTTCTGTCCATTTTGGTTCTGCACTTACCGAGCTTTCAGAGATGAAAATTCTTATTGCTTCCTAAAGAATGCAAATCTCTACAGATCCTTTTTTTTTCTTTTCTCTACTCCCTTAGTTGTTCTAAGCACAGAAAAGATGGAAGTAATTCAAACTGGCAGCTGCAGGCAAATTTGGTGGTAAAAATAGGAACTAAGAGCTTGGAGCTGTTTCACAAGATCATTTCTCTAGCAGTGAGGTTTCTGTTTAGACAGAGCAAACTAGAGCTTTTAATTCTCTAGATGAGTTCTGGAAGTAATAACTGTAATAAGTGAGGTTGTTCATAAAGGCTATATGATGTCCAGAATTATTACAAAATCTCTTTGTCTTGCAACACGCAACATTTGGAAAACACAATTTAGTCCATTGGCTCCCAGTCCAAAGGCTGGCCTTTTGGTTTTCTCCTGCCCAGGAGGAGAAATTACAACAGATGAGAACTCAGTAGTGGATCCAGTTGAAATGTTCCAAAAATTCAACACATTGATGAGAAGAAGTTACATTTTGTGAACATTTTTTGATCATCTTCACTGAGCAGAAGAGGCAGAGCACTGGGGATAATTCCATGGCACTCATTTAACTCTACAAAACCCACCAAGGTGCAGAATCCATTCACAGAAAGGAGTGTACAAATGTACATGCCAGGCTAAGAAACAGCCCCGGGCAGCACAAGTAAGGATGCACATTCTTGGGTGTGCACCAGAGAGCCCCAAGGACTGGTAACTGAAAAACATAAACAGAAGTCCACATACAGGCACAGACATATATACACTGGCATTACAAGTACAGCAGTTTGTAAACAACTGGATGCCTTTTCTCTGTGCGATAAAGAAGTAATTTTGTGCTTGGGGCAGAGGTGGTAAGGACCCTCAGTCCCCCAGGGAACCCTCTTTACTTCTGGGCCAGGCTGTGTGTGAGAAGTGCTCTCTGCCAGCTCCCTAGTTACTGTCATGGGGCACATCTATTTAGAAAGGAGGTAGCAGAATGAACTGACCATTACTTTTCCCTGCCATGTGACAGCCACATGGCATGGGGTGGCTTCACTTCTTGCAGGAGGTGAAAGTGGTGCACTTGTGAAAGCTGTGAGCGCTTGCCCTGTCACTCCCAGCCCCCTTAGCAGGCTTCAGGCTCGGCACAGCTGGGATACTGGCGGTGCTTAAGCTGGAGAGGGAGTTTTTAGGTACCTCCCCTGCACTGAAATCTACAGGCAGTACAGCGATCACACTGAGAAGCAGAAAACTGTGATGCCTGATACTGCAAGGGAGCATATTTATGCCACTTGAACTGTTCCCACTTCTGGGACAATGCCCCTGAGAAATAATCTCGCCTTTAAATGGCTACAAGACTCTTGCATTTGATTGTAATAAATGCATTGTTAGGCTGGTGGAACTGTTGTTAGGAAAGCTCAACAAAGCTTGTTTTCAGTTCTAAAGAATAATAAGCTAAAGCCACTTGCATATCTGTCACAAAACAGATAAAATGAATCTCAATAGACAGAGCCGGTGAAGATAGGGCAGATGTGCATCCAGAGATCTGAGGAACTACATGTACTGTTTGTTGACAAAATAAATAAATAAATAAATAAAAATAAGTCTGAAGGCAGAAAAACGGTGTCTGTACCTAGTGGAATTCATTCAGCTACAGGGTTTGGGGATGCACTATAGAAATAGCACGTAATTAATTATGCTTTATTCCTGACCTATTTTATATCAGTAAACCACAAATTCTTATGTTCATGCTAAGCCTAAAAGTAAAAGAAGTGCTGTGTCAGCTTTCAGGGTGAAAAACACTGTTTTTGTTTCCTCCACAAAAGTGTGTTTAATTATCTCCTGAGGCTGAAGACAGTAGGAAGGTTGAACTGTGATCTGTTCTTATTATTCATTATTCAGTCTTCTCTGAATTAGAAATGCATACGGTTTACACCAATAAAATAAAATGAAACAAAATAAATAAAATAAAATAAAAAATAAAA